TAGACCATGCCTCCCACTCTGAGGTGGGGACCTGGGAGTGGGGGCAAAGGGAGGTTAGGAAAGGCAGGTGTGGGGCTGACCAGAATCTTGGTTACCCCAAGACTGCCCATCTCTCCCCTCTCTGCAGCTGACATCAGACCACAGTATGGACTGTCCTTGGGTCCCTTCTCCACCAGACTCATTCTGAATGTTTAGATGTGTTCTGGAAGTCGGGCCTGGTCACCACAGGGCCTCACTGGAGCAACCAGGGGCCACAGCTTCCTGGCCAGGTGGGGAGTATCCATTGAGCCTGACTAGAATGCCAAGAGCCAAAAGCACCAAGGTGGGTGATGATCAGGTGTCATTTTTACATTTTTGTTTGGAATAAACTTTTTAGAGCAGTTTTAGGTTAGGGAGAAAGATGAGGCTTTCTACTCCCATGAAGATTTACAGCCTCGGAAACCCTATACATGGTTTCTGTGAGTGAGAACCGACTCCATAGCACATAACAAAAAAAAATTTTTGGTTTGCAGAAAATCCGGAGTCCCCATGAGGCCCCCCACCCCCTTTTCCCACAGCAGGTATCTTTGTTACTAACACAGCTGTGTAACATTGTTACAACGCATGATCTGAGCTTCTCAGGGTGATTCCCAAGTTGACATTGTCCATTCTGTGTGTGCAGAGGAATGGGTTTTGAGAAAAGCATCACGTGCGTTTACCATTGCAAGGTCTTTTCACTTAGTTTCCCTGCTTCAAAAGGCCTGGTGCCTACTGTTGTTTTTAGTCTGAATGATAGGAAATTACTTTAAATGAGTTTATTTCAATAATGACCACTTAAAACCTAGGAAAGACATTCAGTGTACCACTTAGAACTCCTGAATAAGCTTGTCTGCTTCTTGAATTTAGGCTAACGAGATCATAGATGTCTGTCTGGAATGAGTCGCATGTAGGCTCCTAAAGGCTGCTGGGATTCATGGTGTGGGGACTTGATCTCTGAGGTCCCCTCCCTGGAGACCCCAGAAGTTTTGACATGACCCTTGGGGTTGGGTAGGGATTGTGGACCTGCCTAAAGGCCTCTCCCAGCTCAGGGCTCAGTGAACTCGGGGTCCCCCTACTCAACCCATTTGTGTGTAGTAAGTACCCTTGAGTGTTCTGCTAGCTACTAGATCCCATGAGGCCTTGGGCCAGGCCTAGTCTCCTCCTTGTACCCACCTGGACTGCTTCCTGTCTGATTGGTTTTGTGTCATCGATGGCCTTTTTTCAGGTCCTGTCATCAGCACCTTTTCTGTTTTGTGTATGTTGTAACTCGCCTGGACTTGGATTCAGGGAAACCAGCTCACTGTGTCCAGCCAGGGGCTGGATGTGTGAGCAGCTCTTTGGGTAGCCTTGGGATGGGGTGACTCATAGCTGTCAGCACAAGACAGACACCCAGGAGAACCTGGTGCCAGGTCTGTGCTTCCTGTGAGCCTGGGGGGGGGGGGGGGGGCGGGTACCAAGTGTGTTAGAAATCTTGTCTTCTGCTGATAGCGGGGGCTTGGGCCATCGGGACAGCAATGACCCCATCAGCTGGAGTTGAGCCTTTCCCCCATGACCAGCAAGTGGGGCTGGTGGGGAGGGGAGGCCAGGGGATGGAACACCAGACCTGGAGTTGGAAACACAGGAAATCCAAAGCTTTCATCTGAAGTTCCTTGACGCTGGCATTCAGATACACACAGAATGGCATCTTACATATGTTGGACAGAAATAAGAGAATCAAGCCCCGGCCAGAAAGGTTCCAGAACTGCAAAGACCTATTTGATTTGATCCTCACCTGTGAGGAGCGAGTCTACGACCAAGTGGTGGAAGGTAGGCAGGGGGTTGTGGTGTACACTACACGAGCAGATCCCTCTAGCAGGGACTGGGACCCGGGAGACCTCCTCTGTCACTGCTTCTGATGCTCTGGACACTTCCAGGGTCCCTGCCAGCTCTACAACTGTTGAGCTCCTATGGGCAAGAGAAGGCCTCGGGCCTCCCACAGCCAAAGGCCCACCAACTACTGTATGCACCATGCTGAGGGTGTAGGGTCCTAGCCAGGCCAGGCTTGTCTTCTGCTTGTGGTTGGGGTCTTGCCTGATCCCAGAACCAGTCAGTGATGTGAGGTTAAGAATCCGGCAGAGCTCCATGAATCTATCACGTCCCCTCTTGATGAATTGATTCCCTGAATGGGTGGCCGGGGTCCTGGTTTAGTGTTTGGGTGCTGTGATTCCATGCTAGGAATAACTGAGGACTGGCAAGGGGGACTTGTGAGCCTCCTGGCCTCCCCCTGAGCCTCAGCCTTTTGGCTCTGTCCCATCAGATCTGAATTCCCGGGAGCAGGAGACCTGCCAGCCAGTGCATGTCATCAACGTGGACATCCAGGACAACCACGAGGAGGCCACCCTGGGGGCCTTCCTCATCTGTGAGCTGTGTCAGTGTGTGAGTACCAGTAAACCCAAGCCCCAAATGCAGGCCCCTCCAGGCAGGCCTAGCTCCCGGAGGGGTGAGTCAGGTGGTTATGAACCTGCGAGTCTCGCTCTCTGGCTCAGCTATGGTGGTCACCTCATGGCTCTGTTTGGGTGGGCAAGTGTGGGCTTTCAGACCATTACTGTCCAGTTCCCTGTGCTCACCTGTGGAGTGGGATGATCCTAGCTGATACCGGACATGGTGTGAGCTTTGCCATGCCCGGACCCAAGAGGCCCTGCCAGCTTAGGCACTCGCTGTAGTGGTCTCTGCCTCTCTCTGGGTGCTACCGCACTCTTCTCCTCTCCATGCCAGGCCCATGAGGGCAGTGGCATTGCTGTGGGAGTTTATCAACTCTGCCATCTACAGATCCAACACACAGAGGACATGGAGAACGAGATTGACGAGCTGCTGCAGGAGTTTGAGGAGAAGAGTGGCCGGGCCTTCCTGCACACTGTCTGCTTCTACTGATGGTGCTGTGGACCCTGCCTCAGACCCCCTTGGACCCTCGCCGCCTGGGAGCGTCTGCACACTGTCTGCTTCCACTGATGTGGCTCCGTGGAGCCCGCCACCTCGGCGCTTCCTTTGTGAATACTGTTCCTTCTCAATTTTGTTTTTACTTCTAGATATTCTGCCAGTGGGTGGTAGTCTTACCAAATCAATTGTACATATGAAATGAGAAGACATACATCAATGTCATATTGAAAAACAATCAAGTTTTTTCTATCCCACTTGTACCTGAGTGGGATATTGATTACACAGATTTTTTTTTTCCCTTTAACCAAAAAAAAAAAAGAAAAGAAAGCGGTTTATAGGACCTTTTCCCAACATGTATGTGTCTTTAGTTGTGCGAGCCTTTCTTTGTCTCCCTCTCACTGGCTGAACTGTACAAATAACCCAAATAAAGCAATGGACTGTGTATTCTCACAAAGACCCTGGACTCGTCCTGTAATTACATGACCAGCTCATTTCTGCTGTCCCAACCCTGGGGCCTTGGCCTTGCTGGCTGGGTGCTTTGGGTGCTTCCTGTGCAGGGAGCAAGTGGGGGACACATCTTCCTCAGGTGGGGCACTGCAACAGAAGTGTGATGGCCACTGCTGCTAAAATCAAAGCATAGATGACATGGGAGTCTACACTGGTGGTTGGTGGGGGAGGTGGGGAGCTTGTGGTCTCAGCATGTTCTCAGTTTGATCCCTTGAGTCCTCAAGTCCTCAAGCCCTGACTTGAGACTCTATAAGACTTTGTCATGTCAAGACTCCCCCTCTCCCACTTCCTATAGGAAGCTGACCTGCCCCCAGTTAGGGCCACTGGGCATGGCAGCTGGATACAGGCCTGAATGGAGTGGCAGTCTCTGCCCCTGTGAATCTGCTCCCTAGGCTGGGATTGGCTGTCCTGCTGAGTTCCTCCGTCATTTCACTTCCTCAGTGAGCTGCCTCCTAGTTTCCCATTGTGGGAAGACCCCTTGGGGACCCTATGGAGAAAGACTGAGCACATACACGACCCAATTTGGCTTCCACCATGCGGACCCTGACCTGTCTCAGAGCGAAGGTTTCCACAGAGGGACCCCTCCCCAGGCTGTTGCATTCATTGCGCACATCGCAGAACACAGCCAAGACTGAACTGCTTAGACCCTCCTCTCAATGTCTGGGAGGAGACCTGCACACCCACCCACACCAGGCCGCCTCCAGCCTTTGCTGACCCAGGTAACCACCACCCTCCCCTAGCCTACCTGCCTGCACCTTCCCCCCGGGCCATGGCTTTGAGGTGACCTCTATGGGGCTGTTTGATTAAGCCAAGAGCCCCTCACCCAGTAACTTAGTGGCTGGAAATCCTGCTGAGCAGTGGCCTGGTCGCACTGGAAGAAGCCTCATGCCTGAGGCACCTTCTGCGAGCCCCCACTTTCGAGAATGATCCATCTGGCATCTGGCCACCCGGGGGTCCCAGGAGCTGACTAGTTGACCCAGGTTGGTCAGAACAAACGGGGGCGGGACCTGGAACTGATGTCTCTGAGGAGGGGTCTTGGCCCCAATCATGGGGTGAAAGTCAAAAGCGAAGACCGAAGAGACCCGCTTGCGCCCCGACCCCGTCTCTTTCCCAGTCTCCTGGCAGGCGCGGGCGCGTAGTTCTCCCGGGAGGCGGCGGGAGGCGGGAAGAGGGAGGAGGGAGGGGGCCGGAGCCGGGAGCCGAGCGCAGGGAGGACCGGAGGGCGGAGCGGAGCGCAGCGGGCGCGGGCAGCGCGGCGGGCCGGACGGACGGAACAACCCCAGGAGCAGCCCCCTCGTCTTGGCGCCCCAGCCTCCTCCCCCCGGCCGGCGACGAGATTGCGGCGGGCGGCGGTAGCGGCGCGGGCCCCAGAGGCGCTGACCTCTGCGGAGGCGGCGGGGGCTCAGCATCGGGCCG